TCCCCAAGCTTTCTGCCACCACCTCTTGGGTTGGTAATTTGTGCAACAGAAGTGTGTCATACACCCGTGGTGTGCCTGCTGCTAGGGGAGAGAGTAAACCACACAAACGTGTTTCCTTCTGCTTGAAGCTTATAGCCTGCTCTGGTTACTACTGCCGCATCACAAAGCAGGGTTCTGCAGATTGAATGTTTCACCCCAAATTAACATATGAAAGCCCTAACCCCCAGTGTGGCTGCATTTGGTGTAGGGACATAATTAATGTTAAGTGAGGACTTCAGGGTGGGGCCTGATCCTGTAGGATTAGTACATTAGAAAAAAACACCTGAGCACTCTTGCTCACCTATGCTCACTGGTCTCTCTCTCCTCTTCCCTCTCTTGCCTTCCCCAACTGTGAGTACCCAGTGAGAGGTGATATCTGCAAGGAAGAGGGTTCTCACCAGAACCCAACCATGTTGCACCCCGTTCTCAGACTTCCAGCCTCCAGAATTGTGAGAAAATAAAGTTTCTGTGTTTAGCACCCCCTCCCCTGTAGCCGCTCCCTCCTCCCCCCCTGGCTTATATTGTTGTTTTTGTTTGTTTGTTTGTTTGTTTTTTGTTATGGCAGCCTGAGCAGCCTAATATACAGGGCTTGGCAAACTCCTGTAAAGAACAAGATGGTAAATATTTTAGACTTTATGGGCATATGGTCTCCATTGTAAGGATTCAACTCTGTTACTGTGGTGGGAAAGCAGCCGTGGACATATGTAAATGAACGGGGTGGTTGTGCTCCAATAAAACTTTACTTATAAACACAGGTAGTGGGCCACTGAGCTGGAGTCTGTAGGACCCCTAGCTTAACATAACAACAATCACTAATTTTGCTCAGAAACTGAAATTAGGACAAGACATGGTGGGGAACGCTCCACAGGTAGTGGGGTCTCTGCTCCAGATGGTCTGCCTGAGCTGCAGGATCTAGTTCAAGATGGTGCGCTCACGTGGCTGCAAATATGTGCTGGGCTGGAGGCCCTGTTTCTCTCATTGTGCACCTCTCCTCGGACTGCTTGAGCTTCCTTACAGCATGGAGCTCTGTTCCAAGCTCCAGAGTCCTGAGAGCATGAGGCTGAAGCTGTGTCACTGTTGATGCCCTGACTTTTGCAGTCACACTGTGTCACTTCTGCTACATTCACCAGCTAGCCCACCTCTCAGCAGGAGGAGTGTCCAGGACACCTTATAGGAGAGCCCCCAGAATGGGGCATCTTGATGCCCTGTGGGGGTAAACACCGCACAGGCCAGAAGACAGGTAGCTAGACTGTAGCTCAGTTCTCTAAAGGAAACAACAGACTTCTGTGGAGATAAAGGGAGGGTGTTTTGCCGAAACCGGTTTGGCTCAGTGGATAGAGCATCGGACTGCTGACTGAAAGGTCCCGGGTTCGATTCCGGTCAGGGGCATGTTCCTTGGTTGTGGGCACATCCCCAGTAGGGGGTGTGCAGGAGGCAGCTGATGGATGGTTCTCCCTCATCGATGTTTCTAGCTCTCTATTTCTCTCTTTTCCTCTCTGTAAAAAATCCATAAAATATATAAAAATAAAAATTAAAAAAAAGGGGGGGAGGGTGTTTTCTCTGCAGGGAAACGGAAGGTCTTTCAGGAGCTGAAGCCAGAACACTTCGCAGTCCTGGTCTCGGGAACTGGGAGAAGGGAATGGCAGTACAATGTCCAGAGCCCAGAAAGGTTATAAGCTGGGAAGCCAGACCGCCTGGGCTGGAATCCTGCTGGGTCATTATTTCCCTTTGACCAGGCACTTCACTCAGGTAGGCTGCGCACTGGTCTTTACAAAAGGAGGGTGTGTAAGCCTAGTCACCCGAGGAGTGCCCATGAGATCACTAATGTGAGATGCTCATCCCAGAGCCCGATGCACACAGCTATGAACTGTACTGCATGGTGGTACAGTTTCTTGTTTTTCTCCCTGGTCTTTGTTTTGAAATGGCTATGTTTATAGTCTTGGACAGTTTCCTCCAAAATGAAATCAATGCCTCCAGCCCCACCTTATGGGAGAATGATTCCCAAATTGCACAAAATGAATGTCTCTAATATCTGCATTCTTGACAGTAGAGTCTGTCACTGCTGGAGTGAATCTGACCATGCACAGGAGAGGAGGGAAGATCAGTGGTGGGGGAGAGGGGTGCATTGGAATTGCCAGAGGAAGGGTATGCATTACCCAGAGGTAGAGGGTGCTGACCAGCAATTGCTTGCAGCCAATAAGATCTCAGTTGCAATCTACTGCTTCTGTGAGGCAGGGCTGCTGAATCAGCAAAAATCAGGCTGGAACTGAAATGGAAGAAAGTGCCGAGTGTACAAGAGAAGCAGCAATTTTATGTCAACGGTGTTTGGGGTGGAGCAGGTGGAAAGCCAGGGGGCTCCACATTGGAACCCATGATCTTTGCTGGGGTGGGGGCTTGTCTCCTAATAACACCACTTCCTGTTTCTTCAGTGCTTACCATGCCCTGGGCACCCAGCTACTTGAATTCTCACAGCAACCTTATGGTTACTGCCATTATGCCCATCTTATGGATGAGAACACTGAGCTCAGAGATTAAATCACTGCCCAAAGCCACACAACTGGCCAGCCCTGGAAGCAGGACTTGAACCTGAATCTTGTGAGGAAAATCTGCAGCCCTTTGGCCTACAGATTTTTCTGTGTGTAATTTTTCATTTTCACCAAACAGCCCTGAGATGCTAGTTCACACCCATTTAGATGGACAAAATGAAACAAATGGAAACCTAATAGGAAGTCTGATAATACCAAGTGCTGGCCAGGAGGCAGCGAACTGGAAGCGCAGGTGCACTGCAGGGTGAGAAGGAAAACCGCCAGGTGTTCTGGAGAGCAACTTCTACTGTATCTAAGATGTGCCCCATTCCACACATCCACCCCCAGCCATTCAGAGGAGCGCTGCGGACAGGGCTAGAGGGTGCTTTGAATCTTTGCCAATGCAAATCACAGAGCTAAACTGAAAACTCCCTAAGGGACCTCCCCAGGGGGGGTGGCTAAGGAGGTGCCTGCCCTCCAGGCTGGTGGCACTTTAGGGAGGGGGTTTGGGTGCCCAGGGCAAGACAAGAAGTCAGAGCTTGAACTTTGGGGGTCAGAAGAGGGGCTAGTTTTCCACTGAGGGTCGGTTTACCCAAAAGTGGAGAAGGCTGAGCAGAGCCCCTGGCTAATTGGAGGTTTAAATTTGCGCCCCTTCTAAATCTCAGCCTCCACCGCCTCGTTTGCAATTCCTGGCTCCACGCCATCAGAGACACCTGCCCGCACTCCATTGGCCCGGACCCCCGCGCAGTCGTGGTCGTCCTCCCCCTCCCAACGCTGGCTGCAGCGTTTGCCCCACGCGCTCCCTCCCGGAGAGCTGGGAACGCGGGCTCTGCCTGTGGATTTATGGTCCAGGAAATGCACTTTAAATTGGTCCCAGGATACTCAGATCCAGGAATCAGCTACCATCTCTTGGGAGTGAGGGTGGGGTGGGAGCATGTGTGGAGAGAGACCTAGTAACGCAGGAGATTGCACTTGACTCCCAAAGCGCGACCACTCCGGAGTTGGGGGGCTACCTGTTGTGTAGGGCGTTGGGGATGGGGGTACCTTACTCTAAGTGTGTGCGTCTGGCAGGATTTTCTTTTCATTTATGGGGAGGGGACATGCTTTCTGAGGCGAGGCCTCCCTCCCCCCCAACCCCCCTGCCCCATTCTCCCTGCTTCCCACATTTGGAACTAAACTGCTTGTAAGGAAAAGGACTGCTTATTTATCATGGGGGAAAAACACCTGTGGTTTGCCAAGAGCTTCTCTAGTCAAGCCAGAGGCAGGCGTCGCAGACAGGAGCCAGGAGGGATAGGCGAAGGACCGAGTTGGGGAGCGGAAACATTCGGGGGTCCCCCAGACCGCCCCGGGCCTGCTCGGCCGGCTTTCCTTGCGGCTCCCGGGAGGGGCAGAAAGCGCTCTGGGTGCTGGGCGCCTTCCCATTACGCAGTTCCTGTCCCTTTAAATCCAAGTGCCGGGAAAGGTGGGTGGGGGCTGGGGTGCCCTGGCTGGACCCCTATTTCCAGGCGGCCCCAGGCAAAGGGGGAGGAAGCCTAGCGGGCCGGAGCGCCGGGTGGGGGATGAGGGTGGGGCTCCAGGGGTCCCCACCGGCGCCCCTCGCCCTCTGCCACGCCCGGCAGCGCCCCTCCAAGGCCGCGGGCGCGCCGGGGACTGGGGGCCGGGGCGGGGGCGCGCGGGCGGGCGGGGCGCGGGCGCGCGGGCGGGGTGCGGGCGCGCGCCGCGCCGGCCAGAGCGCGCAGGCCGGGCTCCCAGCGCACGCCGCCGCCGCCGCTGCCCGACCCGCCGCATTGCTGCTGCCGCCGCCGCCGCCGCCGCCGCCGCCGCCGCCGCCGCCGCCCCGGCCCGGCCCGGCCCGGTTCGCGGCCCCCAATATGGTGCAGCCGCCCGCGCCGCCGCCCGTGCCGCCGCCCGCGGGCCCCGGCGCCGCCGCCCTCGGGCGCCCGCAGAGCGGCAGCCGCAGGTGGAAGCCTGCGCCCCGAGCCTGAGCCTCCGTCCCCGCGCCGGCCTGCGCGGCCAGCCCCGCGGGCTCGCCTCGGAGGGGCCCTGGGAGCTGAGGTGGAGCCGTTTGCACCAGCGCTGCCGCTCCTGCCCCCTCCTTCTCCTCCCCTCCCCTCCCCTCCCCCTCCCTCCTCCCCTCCGGTCCTGTCTCCAGCGGGAGCGCGAGACGCTGGTCAGGCTCCGCGGCGCAGCTCGAAAATGAATAATCGCCCCCGATTGACTTAAAATTCCACCGAAGCCGGCGCCGCGGCCGCCCGCCCGCCGCTCGGGATCTGCTTGCTGTGTTTTTTTTGCTTTCTCCATTCTTCCTTTTAAAAAAAGAAAATAGCAAAACAAAACCAGCCAGCCAACCAAGAACCCGGTTTGTTGATCGCCTTATTTTTTTTTTTTTTTTACCCCCCTCCACCGTTTGCGGGATTTGCAAACCGAATTACATGCATGTCCAGTGGGGGTAGGTTTAATTTTGACGATGGAGGGTCCTACTGTGGAGGCTGGGAGGACGGCAAGGCGCACGGCCATGGCGTCTGCACCGGCCCCAAGGGCCAGGGCGAATACACGGGCTCGTGGAGCCACGGCTTCGAGGTGCTGGGCGTCTACACCTGGCCCAGCGGCAACACGTACCAGGGCACCTGGGCGCAGGGCAAGCGCCACGGCATCGGCCTGGAGAGCAAGGGGAAGTGGGTGTACAAGGGCGAGTGGACGCACGGATTTAAGGGGCGCTACGGGGTGCGGGAGTGCACGGGCAACGGGGCCAAGTACGAAGGGACCTGGAGCAACGGGCTGCAGGACGGCTACGGCACCGAGACCTACTCGGATGGAGGTAGGTGCGCCGGGGCGGGCGGGCGGGCTGGGGTTGGGCGGAGGAGGAACCTTCTCTTGCCTCTTGTGTTTATCTCCGGGGAAGTTGAGCTTCTCCTTCCAGTGGGGCCGTGGGCACCTGGGCATTTCTTGGGGTTCTCTGGAGGCCCAGTTGCCCTGGCTACAGGTTGCCCCACTGCTTGGTAAGGGGATAGCACGCCTGTGCCGGCGGAAGGGTGTTGGGGGGCTTTCCAGGAGCAGAGCCAGGCCCTGGAGTTGCGGAGTTGAGCAGAGTGTCTGTGCATCACCCAAGAGCAGGCCAGAAACCTGCGGAAAGGCCAGACTGGGCCTGCGGCCTCCTCTGGGACCCGCGGAGGCCGGGCGGAGAGGGGCTGGGAGAGGGCCCCCTCCCCTGGTTGGCAGAGCCCCCTTGGTGAGGGCCTCCCGGAGTCAGGCCCCAGCTTTGCTTCTCGTTTTCCTGCGGAGCCCAAGGGCCTTCCTCAGACCCCATCAACTCAAGCCAATGGAGACGGCGCTATTGGGAGAGCCATAGGCAGGGGACACGAACCCAAACCAGCACAACAAGGCAATAAACTTCTAGGTGGTTGGACCTGGGCTAGCACTGTCGGAGCGGGCTGCTGAAAGGAGGGAGGGAGGGAGGCAGGCCCATCTGTTTAGCGAGAGCCCAGGAATCTCACCGTTCCTTGGCTGAATCATTTTCCCAGTGAGTCCAGGGACTGCTCTGTGCCTTCATCCTAAGATGCCACCACATTCAGGGCTGAGGCTGAGCTGGTGCAGGAAGCCAGGGAGCTGCCCACCCGCTGCCCACCTCTGCTGTAAGATGATTTCTGTGCAGGGAGCCTTGGTGGCCTTGCAGCTACCCCCCCCCCCCCCCCCCCCGGCTCCAGACACTCCGGTGTCCACTCCTTGGTGCATCTGAAAGGCAGGGAGCATTTACTGTTCCTGGAAGCCAGACCCCAAACCAGCCTGCTCTCCACAGGCAGCCCCCGCCCCCCACCTCCTCCCCACTCTGGGAGCTTCAGAAGTGGCAGGCAATTTTTCAGGCTCCGGCAAGGAGTGGGGCACAGCAGTGACTTGTGTGCTTCTGTGGGCATGGAAATCGTGAGTGTATGTGTGGTCTTCTCCCTGCCTCGCGCTGCCTCCCAGTCTCATGAAGCAAGCGCTCAACACCTGCTCCCCGGCCACATCCAGGGGTGACAGAGGGCTGGAGAGTAATTATTATTTTGGCTTATGCAACTGAGAGGCAGGGTTCATTATTCCTCAAAGGGGAGGAGGCGTGGGGGGCAGTTAATTATATAATGCTCCTGCCTGTCACAGCCGTGCCCAGCCCTGTCCCAGGCGGCCTCTTCGGCGCTGCTGTTGTTGTTTTCACTGATCAGGTTGGAGAGTTCTCTGACCCTGAGGTGTGGGGGCCTGGCCAGCAGACAGACCTGCTGGGTTCCAGGTCCTGTGTGTGTGTGTGTGTGTGTGTGTGTGGTGTGTACGCACAGTGAGGCCCCGTAGCAGATGTGGGTGGTACAGCAGCCTAGCGCACCCAGCTGGGTACTTTGGGAGCCCAGGGGCAGTTGTCACCTGGAGCCAGGGCTACCAGGCTCTGCAGATCCGTCCCTCAGATGTGCCTGAGCCAGGAGAGTGGCTTCACGGTCCTATGCAGGGGGCCTCAGGGGGAGAGGAATTAGGAACTCCCCAGGATATCTGGGGGTGAGGTCTAGCACCCCAGTGTGCCCACCTTCCCTGGATATCTTTAGTGGCCTGTGGAATTCTGTCCTTTGTTCAACAAATACCTACTGAGTGCCTACATGGAGCAGGTGTGCTCTGGACTCTGGGAAAACAGCAGTGGACAAAGCAGACAGCGATGTTGCCCTCAGAGAGCTTCCACTTTAGAAGGAAGAGTGGTAATTCCATTGTGATTACTGGGGGAAGAGAGGGTCTGATTCTGTGGCTGGCCACCAGTTTAGGGTCTGACATGTGGACCTTTTATTGGGTTTATGCCCTTGGTCTCTATCCCCCATCCAACCCGCTAAGCAGCGTTCAGCTAAGCAGCATTCAGCTCCTCGAAGCCCTTCTCCGCTGCATCTTCTTGCTTGAGTATCACGTGATGGAGGGGTTCATGACCATTTTACAGAGGGTAGTAAGGCCCAGGAGCCAGGCCCTCAGGCTTTGGCGGCAGAGTTGAGGGTTTGAACCCTGATCTGTCCTCATCCTACCACCTGTGTGCCAACAGAGGCAGTGTCCCAGTGCAGGGCGCCAGGGCCAGCTGCTCCCGTGTGGTTTGTGATGTGGCACGGCAGAAAATGGAATTGACCCTTCTGGTCTGGGATAACCAAGCCCAGAATCTGGGGCCATTTTGCTGGAACCTGGCCCCACTTCTCATTAGGAAGGAGGTGTGGAGACTGTGTATCTTTGAGCAGTTCATCAAGCGAGCAGAGCCAAAGTGGGGCGTCTTAATCCCACCATTTCAACAGTGGGTTTCTGTGCCTTCCCCCGTGGGTCCGCTGGTGGGCTGTGATGGGTCTCCCTTCTGACCCGGCAGAGCCTTTCATGAATTAATGCTCCCGTCCAACTTTCCCTGTGCCCAGAGGATGGGAATGTTGGGCAGGCATCAGCAGAGCTCCCAAACTCCAGCCCAGCTCCCAGTGCTGACTTGGGAGAACAGTGAACCTCATGAATAATGCACAGACGGCAAACGTATTCTACATTTAGCTGGAATTGGTATGGAATCCATTTCAACTGGAGACACTTCTGCCAACTCCTCCTCCTCCAGGTTCATCCTCCCCTGAGCGCACGGCAGGTGTTGCTCATTGAAGTGAGCTGAATGCTGGGTGGCTCCACGTAGATGGTGAGGCTGAGGGTGTGGGGTGGCAGGAGAACACGCTGTGGAGCTTACAGCTGTGAGTCCCCAGCTGTCCTTTTGCTCTGTGACCTTGGGCAAGTCATTTCACTTCCCATGTCATGTTGTTTCCGTGTCTTCCCATGTTCAAAGGACTGATGATGACAATACCTGTAAATTAGGTAGGGATTAATTGAAGCGGTATACGCAGGTATACGAGCAAGTATTCATTATTATTATTATAGTTCCCATGCCATGAATGCCACATGTAGTGGTTATTTTTAAGAACCAACAGCCAAACATGACAATGATGATATTGAAAAGGACAATGCATAGCAATAGTTCACACTCACTATTGTGTGCAGGGAAAACGCGAGTGTTTGGGTGAATGATAGCCCTTGATGTCCGTACCTCTCCGGGACGTGGGAGGGTTTATTTGCAGGGGTTACCCCTCCAGGATTGTTCCTCCCAGGCCCCACATTGGGACGTGGAGGCTCAGAGAGGGCAGATGAGCATGGGGCCACACCCGGATTCACACTCAGGATGGCGCCTCAAGAGCCTGGCTTTTGTGTGGAGCACCTCTCTCTAGACTACCTCCTTGTTCTCTCTTCCTCCACACCCATTCTTCTCCTCTCTGGGTGCAGCAGCCCAGAGCTGTAGGCAAGTGCACTTTCACAGACGCGTACACTTGGACCCCCACCTCCAGTCCCACCAGGCCCATGGCCTCTTCTCCACTCGCTGGACCCCCGGCGCTAAGCTGCACAGGTAAATATGTCCTCCTGGGTGCCCAGTACCTAGGGTCCCTGGGACCAAAAGTTACCCCCCCTGCAAATAAGCCCTCCCACAGCCTGAAAGATATGAGTCATCTCACACACCCGGCCTCTCCCCCTCATACACAGATTCCGTTCACCGGCCCAGATCCCTCCGCCCACACCAATCACACACGCCCACAGTCAAAAATTCGGATCTCCCGGCGCCTGCGCGCGCAGGCGCACCACGCACCTGTCACCCAGAGACGTTTTCCATCCTGTCCCCCAAAACACGGCCACGTGCACCCGCCCAGCTTTGTTCTCTGGCCAAGTATTCCACCCCCTGCGATTCCTGCTCCTGAGAAGCAGCCGTCCCAGAGGGAGAGCGCTGGCCTAGAGGAAGGCTCAGATTACAGATGGAGCAGAATATGTCCTTTCCACTTTAAACATACCTTTATGCAGCTCATGCCCAGAGGAAGGGAGAAACCCCTCATCCGAACAAAATAAGCAACCTTTGGGCATATTTTTGGTACTTAGCCATAAATATGTGAAAGTAAATTTTTTGTTTTTTGTTTTTTTGGTTAGTCTTCACTCAAGGATATTTTCCCATTGGTTTTTAGAGAAAGTGGAAAGGAGAGGGAGAAACAGAAACATTGATGTGAGAGAAACACATTGATTGGTTGCCCCCCTGCAGGCACCCCAAACAGGGCCAGAAAACCTGCAACCAAAGTATATGCCCCTGACCAGAATCCAGCCTGGGACCCTTCCTTCCTGGGTCTGATGCTCTATCCAGTGGGCCACACTGGCCAGGGCAAAAGTATATATTTTTTTTTTAATCCAAATGCCCAGGTTAGGAGGAAGTGGGCCATCAGAACTCCTTTTGGAAAAAAAAAATCCAGCACTCACTCAGCTATGGGAGATAAAAGCATCTCCTCAGAAATTCTCTTCCAGCCACTTTGGAGAGGGAGAAGGTGAAACGAGAAGGGAAAAAGCAAATAACTAGTTCTTTGTTGCCAATAATAGCTGAGAAAGAACTGTTACTGAAGACTCCCTCACCCAGCACAGCCCTGGAGCGATGTGATGGGCTTTATATTAGGAAGCCAAGCGGGCTGGTGAGGAAGTGAGGATCAGCACCCTCCGAAAATAGCCGCTCCACCAAAGTCAGTGAGTAGCCTCCGGCTGCTGTTACAGTTAACGCAGCTAACCTGACAGAAGGGGGCTGTGGGCCCGTCTGGCCGGAGAGGGAGACCCCGGGAAAACAAAGGGGGATAGTGGCTATGGAGGGAGAGCCAAGAACCTCTGCTGTTTTTCTACAGGACTCCTTTGCTTCCTCCATTTCCCTCAGGCCTCCACTACTCTAAGCATAACTAACTACCAACTCTGACATGGTAATTTTATATCTAAAACTCTATGTCCTTATGT